CTGATTAAACATTAAATATTTCTATAGAGACTGGGAGGTCTTTTCAAATTCTGGAGGATGTAACATAACTTGCTAAACAACGATTCTTTTGGCATCTGATTTTTTTTTTTTTCAATTTCCCATAATCAGGAAAATTATTTTAATAATCTTTTTTCTCCGATCAATTTGTATTTTTTTCTTGTAACATCATCATCATCACCAGTAGAAAGGTTCATAATTGAGTCACGTTATGGTTAATGATACATTCACCTCTCGAGGGTAAAATACGTAAGGAAGTGTACGTCGCAAGGTGGGAGGTGAATAATTGGATTCCTATAACTCAGTACTGCAAAAGAGAAAATGTTAAACTAATTTTCAGCTTTGTGACTTCTCAGATAGCCTATCTATCTTTTTACCTAAATATCTCCATCTGTCTTATTGATTGTTTTTTTACTAAGTAGAATGTTAATTTTGTTAATTACACTCTTTGTGGCTCGAGCCACTGGGTGATAATAAACTGATTATCTTACTAAGTTTTGTTGTATGTTCCTTTCAATATAAAAGACATCCATTCTTCACCAAAATATCATTTAATATTCTATGTTACTCATAGAATATATATATATATATACACTCATAACGAAATGATTATGAGTGAAGTGTTTTAATTGTTGATAGAATAAAACCTATAGATATTAGTTGTGTGACTGTAATGATTTAAGTGGTTACTACTACCTTTAAATATTAATTTAATTAACCTTAGTGGTTCAATGGTCACCACAAACTTTAAATGATGTGAATGATCACCGAAACTTTTATATATTACTTTAAATACCATAGTGTGGTGACCAATTGCAACTTTAAAGTAATATATAAAAGTTTTGGTGACCATTCACACCATTTAAAGGTTTCACACCACAGTCATTAAACTAATACTTAAAGGCTGTGGTGACCAATTGCAACACTATAGTCTTGTACAACTGGTCAGTTAACTGATTAATATTCGAATGCTCAGAGAATAATAATCTCATATCGCAAACGTATTTCGGAATTTCAACCAAATTTGATTTGAAAGTAAACTTCACTCAGTAACCAATTCGTTATGGTGAGGTATTTTTTTAGTTGCATTTAGATATCTATATGAACATCGTATCATCTTTTGTTTTTTATACTTATCCACCTATCTTTTTTTTCTTCCCTACTGTTTATATTTTCTTATCTGTCTTTTTTTGGTCCAGAACTGTACATCCTAACTAACCAGACCTGACTTGTTTTAAGTCACTATTGGTGTTTTGTTTTGTTGTTGTTTTTTCAGAGGACACAAAATTTAGGGGTGTGGAAAGTGGTGATAACAGAATAGTGAAAAACAAAATACAGTTGTTGACATCGAAAGATAAAACAACAAGTATTTGGTTGTGAGTAGGACAGGTTATATGAGGAATTATAAACTAAAGAATGCAAGAAAGATATAAAAAAAGCTTACAGTCATGAGTACAAATAATAACAGAGAATTAAAAAATCGAAGGACAAAGGAACTTTAAGAAAAATAAAAAAGTAATGAGATAAAAATATACATGAAAAAGAAAATGATAAAACGGCAAAAACAAGACAAATTATTTGGTTCTCATTTGTCGTGCTTATGATAAAAAGAAAAATTTGCAGAATGCCCATATCAATCAACTACGATCGAAGAAATGCCCTGCCTAAAGGTTTTAAGTTCTAACCATTGGATTCCAGTAAGTACACCCTTCCAAAATTGTAGTTGTTGAGTTTGGAAGTAATTTTGAATACAATAACAACCGTGAAAGTTGACATTTAGACTTACTTGTGAAACATTTGAAATAGAATGCATTTATGGGGATTCATGGTTTGAGTACTCAAGGATTAGACTAATAAATCAACCTCTACAACTTGCTTTTACAGCATATAAATCCCCTTTGAAACTTTCCCTTTAACTGATCTGAGATTGGAGAAAAGAGGGACAAGGACGATGTGGGATCAAGTACAACATTTTTTAATGAAAGGTCAATAGGTCGTGTGCTACTTTCTGTGCACTGATGTCATCTAACCAATGTACACGAAGATGGAGAACAAGGAAAACAACTCTTTCCAGGAATCGGAATCACGATGGAATTAATCGTAAAGCTCGTTAAATAAACATTAACTGAAAAACAACAACGTTTGTTTATGGTTAAGCACAAAGCTACACAATGGGCTATCTGTGCTCTGCTCACCACGGGTATCGAAACCCGGTTTCTAGCGTTGTAAGTCCGCAGACATACCGCTGGACCACTGGGGGTAAAAAAAAACTGACAAAACACAAGATATAAGCTTATTGAACTAAAATACATATTCTAAAAATTTGGGTAAGCGTTGCAATACGTCATACCATAACTTGGCAAATCACTCTTCCCAAATATCAGTTGTTGTTGTTTGTAGTTAAGTACAAAGCTACACAATGGGCTATCTGTGCTCTGCTCACCAGTCTTCATTACAATAAACAAATAATAATTCAACTTCTAATGTACTTGGTCGTTCCTAAGCAACTGTAGTTATAGTGACAACAAAATTTGTAATTCCTTTCTCCCAGAAATGAAAACTTTGCTTTAAACACTTTGTTCTGATGGTACTTTAAACACTTTGTTCTGATGGTACTTAAAACACTTTGTTCTGATGGTACTTAATGCTTAATATTATTTATTTATTTATGTTTTGAACTTTTGTTTTCTGAAATAGTAATGGCATAGCAACCAGGCAGCGTTCAGCCCGACATCTGAGGGCTTATAATGCTAACAATTGGATTTTGAGCACAGATAGCCCACTGTCTTGCTTTCTGCTTAACAACAAACAAAAAATCACCCAAATAACATATCAGGGACTAAGTCATAACTGTGATTTTGGGAGGGGGGATTTTAACAATATCACAAAACAGTAGTTTTGATACGTTTTCTGATATTTGGGGTCTCCCAGTGGCCCAGCGGTACGTCTGCGGACTTACAACGCTAGAAACCGGGTTTCGATACCCAGACGGGCACGGTACAGATAGCCCATTGTGTAGCTTTGTGCTTAGCAGCGAACAAACAAACAAAACGATCCTCACTTGAGATTTTCGGATTTGTTTTATTTACAGGAAAATATATTTGCCCGCTAAATCAACTAAAACAACATTTTAATTAGAAGGTTACTTCACTCGTATTGAACAACTAGCTGTTGTTGCCATTAGCGATAAGCCTGAGAGCTTGTAACACCGAGTTTTGGGACGAGACAGAGTATAGGCTTGTTTATTTGTTTGAATTGAAGCACAAAGCTACACAATGGGCTATCTGTGCTCTGCCCACCATGGGTATCGAAACCCGGTTTCTAGCGCTGTAAGTCCGCAGACATACCGCTGTGCCAGTGGGGGGCAGAGTGTAGGCAATCCATTGAGTGGTAATGGCCGATTTTTAGCGTTATAACTCCACTGACTTACCGCTGACCCACTGGATGGGGTATTTGTCGTAGGATATTAGAA